GAATGTTTAGAATGTCAGGTATTTCCCCTTAGATGCAGGTCCTCCCTGGGTGGGGTCAGCTTATGACTTTTCCTGGGTCCAAGTGTTGCCTTCTGGAAGCTGTGTCTAGGCCTCTAAGCCTTTCATGGCAGTTCAGTGATCAAGCTTCTTCTGGGCCTCCCCTACAAAAACTGGAGGGATGTGCTCTAAGGTAAGAGGGCTCCAGGATCAGCAGGGTCATAGTGAATTTAAACTCCCCATTTCAGGAGCAACAAAATGTACAGTTGTTAAAATGTCAAAAGAAAAAGTGGTAATTGCATAATTTTTAAAGATAGAAATAGAATGACTCTGTAGACAGGAAATAAGTAAAGGGGAAAGACCTTTCACAATAGAGAAGGGGGAAGGAAAGAAAAGGGAGAAATGCTTAATGAAGAAAGGAGGATTTCCGCCATTTCATGGACACCAGGGAACAGAGAGCATCTGCGGATGCAGATCCCGAAGGTGGGCCTGTTGGAGTGTTGGAATTTGAGCTTTGGCTTTTTGAACCCAGGATCTCAAAATGCATCGTGATTCCTGTCCATTAGATTGTAAGGTGTATGTGGGTAATCTTGGAAACAATGGGAACAAGACTGAATTAGAGTGGGCTTTTGGCTATTATGGACCACTCCGAAGTATGTGGGTTGCTCGAAGCCCTCCTGGCTTTGCGTTGGTTGAATTTGAGGATCACCGAGATGCCGCTGATGCTGTCCGAGAGCTAGATGGAGAGCTTACAGAAGTTGTTTTTCCATTAAATACAGGTAAATTCTTTGATATACACTGTTAATAATTGCCAAGTTGCATTAACATGTTACTTGGGATCTATGAAAAAGGATCCTCTTTTTAAAATTTTATAAAAATACTCCAGAGTATTGCCCAAAGTTACTCTTAAAATCCTACAGAGATTGTCTTTAATGTCTTTATAGATGGCATATATATAAAGGCCCATTGAAATAGAAGCTAGTGATAGACGTGCTCAATTATTATTGCTTCCATAGCTTAAAGGCAAAATGACACCTATATGTAGAACTGGAGATTTTGGAAGTACAGGAAAAAAAGGTGTTTGGGCAAACAGTTATCAATGATGAATTGATGAATGGCCTAAATTAAAGATAAAATTAAATGGGATTTAGATTGAAGGATTATTGGATTCTGATGCTGATGTATCTATAATTTCACAAGAATCCTGGGATCCCAAGTGGCTTTTGCAAGAAGTCTCCACTCAATTTGTAGACATTTGAACCTTATCTCAAGTAAAACAAGAGTGTAGAATAGGTTAAATGTATAGTGCCTGAATGACAGGTAGGAATGTTAAAGCTTTATATGGCTGATATAGCCGTAAATTTATGGGGGAGAGATTTGTTACAACAATGGGGAGCTCAAATTAATATTCCTACAATTTCAGAATCAGCTCATAAAATGATGTTTAAAATGGGGTATGTTCCTGGTAAAGAATTATAAGGGAAAGTCACAGACTATGCAGGTTGTACAAAGGCAAGATAGGACGGGAGTTGTCTATTCAAATTTGGAGTAGGGGCCTCTGCCAATAGCCCAACTACTCTGGCTTTAAAAATCAGAGCTGTATGTCACTCTGATGGATTTATTAGACTTTAAGGAACCTCTCAACGTAATTACTGATTCTCAATATGCTGGTAGAGGGTTGTATTGCATATAGAGACTGATGAATTTATTCCTGATAATTCAGAATTAGCTTTATAATTTGTACAACTACAACAGACAATCCAAGAAAGAGATTGCCCACTTTATATTACCCATACTCAGTTGCCTAGGCCATTGACAGGAGATGTGGAAATTGATCAATTATTGATAGGATCTATGTTGGAAGCCTCAGACTTTCATTAAAAACACATGTTAATAATAAAAGCTTAAAGAAAAAAATTTCAATTACTTGGCAAGAGGCTAAGGAAATTATAAAAACTGTCCTGCCTGTTCTTTTTATAATCAAGTTGCTTTACCTGCAGAAACTAATCCTAAAGGTACACAAAGGAATGAAATTTGGCAAATGGATATATTTCATTTAGTAAATTTTGGAAAATTAAGATATGTTCATCATACTATTGACACTTATTCTGGGTTCCAATGGATATCTGCCTTAAGTTCTAAAAAGGCAAATTTTATAATTACACATTTATTAGAAACAATGGCCATAATGGGCATACCAGTACAAATTAAGACTGATAATGTCCCAGCTTATTTTTCCAGTAAAATGAAACAACTTTTTGCACATTACAACATAAAACATGTTACTGGGATAACATGCAATCCTACAGGACAAGCAATTGTTGAGAGATCTAACTGCACCCTAAAAGAGATGCTTGCTGAACAGAAGTGGGATATGAGGACCTCCAGAGATAGACTGCATAATGCCTTACTAACTTTAAATTTTTTTAATTCTAATGAAACAGGAACAACATTGAGTTTTGGAGAGAGCTGCTGAATTGAGTCAGCCCATGTATTATAAATTTTAAATGAACCTGACTGGGTACATTGGCAACAGTATAAGCATGAGAAACCTCGGGTGCTAATTAATATTTGATATTAATATCAAAATAGTTCAGGAGACGCTCTAAGTTAGGGCCAAAGTTATGTTTATGTTTCCACAAGAGATAATAAATTGTGAATTGCATCAAATTGATAAAAATCTCAGCATGAGCAAGAGAAATCTCCTGGATGCTGTAGCTGCAGAGATGCCTCTGTGAAAGACAGGACGCAGGAGGCCTTTGGACCAGACAACAAACTCTCTCCCCCACCCCCAACTGGGGACAGCTGAAGAGTTTGAGTGATAAAGAAGAGATGACACCTTGCATGACTCAAAAGCCTCTAAATGCTACAAATTTATTTCTTGCCATGCTTTCTGTGTTAACGGTGCACATAAAAGGGATGGATCATAATCATTGGGCTTTATTCTCAATCCTCCAATTAACATATCAGTAAGTTGGGGAAATACGAATATTTCTGTAATGGTTAGTGGATCTTCTTGACTACCTGGTTCTTATGACAACCTAGGTCCTGCCCAGCCAATGGAGAAGGGTAAAGTGATTGACAATTACATTGTTGGATTACAAGGAATTTCTATTTGCATGGGAAATAGAATTCAATGACTAAATATAACCCCTAAAATATGGATATCCATGGTCAATACTACCCAAGATTATCATAATAAGTTTTATATGCTCCATGCATCCAGCTTTAAAGGACAAGAGATTAATACTATTAATTCCATAAATCTACATTCTGTGAGATGAGGGTTACCAACAAGGAACCTGACTGGGTACATTGGCAACAGTGTAAGAGTGAGAACCTTGAGTGCTAATTAATGTTTCCAAAGGAGACATCACTGATTGGAACCCTTCTGGCTCCCCTCAGGAAAAATATTCTCACTCAGAGTTAAGATACAAATGGTATAATTTGAATGGAACTGTGAAAATCAATGCTTCTGTTAATGAACCTATTCAGTGGCATGGAGTTGGAATGGCAAGTCCTCTCCTGCAAATTGACAATTCAATTCAGACTAACTTATAGAAATTGGCAAGTGACTTCCACCCACTTAAGTCATGGGGAAAAAAATTAAACATTAAGGAAAATAACTATACTCTGTCTTTTAGACTAAATTAAAGCCATCCTTTTATGTCATGTGTACTTACTTGCTTTTGAAAGGGCCTGTACAATAGAATCCTAATAAATACAGCATCACTTGCGAATGCTGTACCCTTTGTACCTGTGTTAATTCTAGTATGTTTTTAAATTTGACCTTTGAAAATTTATATATTCTTAGAGCAAGGCCAGGAATTTTGATGCCAGTGAAGTTGTCAAGGCCATGTAAGAGTCTCCTGTGATGATTCTGGTACAGAAGCTCAATGAAAGAAGAGTAAAAAGAACATGTTAAATGGTTGGACTGGTGGTTGTAGTTATTATGGGAATCGTTGCATTGACAGCTGTGGCAGCAACAGCTGGAGTGGTGCTTCATAAAGAAATTCAAACTGCTGAATTCATTAGAGACTAGCATAGGGATTCAGAAGAACTTTCGACTGAACAAAATCAGATTGATAATGAGATAGCAAATGAATTAGCTGAGTTAAGGCAAGCCATTGTATTATTGGGGGATCAATTAGAAATTTTGAAGTAGCAGGTAAAATTAAAATGTGATTGGAATGTTTATTGTTATTGTATCACACCCTTAAGATTTAATGAAAGCAAGAATGATTGAGATAAGGTTAAGATGCACATGTTGGGTCACCCTAATTCTTCTCAAATGATTTACAGAAAGAAATTAAAGAAACTTTTGAAAAAGTTACATGATATGACAGGAATGGACATTATGGAATGTCCAGCAGATACCATAGCCTCATTCAATCCTATGAATCACTTTAATAGATTTCTTATCCTAGTAGATGTTGCTCTTGTTCTAGCAATAGTAACTTATTGACTTTAAAATGTGTTTTGGTATAGTTGCATAAGATTGTAAGACAGATAGATAGAAAAAAAGCTGTATTTACTGTGAGGCTGAATAACCTTCAAGATAACTGATTTTTGTATAAAAGAAAGGGAGATCTGTGATGACTGCATTGCCACTGGGCTACATCTGGCCTGGGTGCCAGAGAGTAGCACCCATCGCTAACCCATCTTTTGTTTAGCAAACACCTTTTGTTTGTCTTGTTGCTCTATGTGAATCTTGTCTCAGAGTCTCCCAAGGATACAAAGACATGTGCAAAACTTGGTTCAGAAAACCTGGAAAACTGTGGTATCTGATGAATTGAGTAATTTGTACTTGGCATTATATTTTTGGGAGATTCTTTCAGGTTGTTTAAGAGATATGGAAATCAACTGGCTAAACTGTAAATATAGAGAAAAATAAATATGCCCTGGGCAAAGGGAAAGTGTTTCAGTCCTTAGAGATGATCCCCTGCATCCCCAAAGGCTAAATTCATTCTTAAGGTGCCTCTGAGTTTTTTCCACAGCTCTGCATGAACCCACACACCTGTGCCTCAACATTTCAAGACATACAACTGTCATTTTTGCTTGTTTCATGATTGTTTATGTAGACATTATAAATTATTTTACAAATTAACTTTATAGAATTGAGCAGTGATTAATTTTTCCTATTTTATTTATTTTTGTTTGTGTGTGGGGGGGTGTTTTTTCTGCATGAATGTTCATAGCCACAAAGGCCAGAAGATGTCAGATTCTATGGAACTGGAGTTGTGAACCACCAGGAAGATGCTGGAAACTGAACGAGAATCCTCTGGAGGAGCAGACAGTGCTCTGAACCTCTGAGCCATTTCTCCAGTCTCCAAAGAAATGATTATATCAAAGGCATTAAATGTTGATTTATTTACATGTTAATTGCTTTTGCATGTGGCAGCAATTAACAGATAAATTTGATTAAAAGTACATCAATATCACGTATCATTTCCAAACTTCTCATACATGGTTTTACGTGTATGTCATGAAGTTGGCCAGGAGGAGATTATATTATATACAGCAATCAATAAATGTCACATATTGGAACATGTTTAGAAAATGATATTTACAAAGCCCATGTCAACAGTACCCTTCTAGAAAACTCCTTCAAACACCAGTGTGTTGATGGCTGGTAAGTCTTTATATTTTAGGAGAAACCATACAATGACCATGTAGTGAAAATTGCAGGGTTTCAGGATTTGACTTTTTTGTTCAGTCATTTTTCTTTCTAGAATCTGATTTATGCTCATAGTTATTGTTATTGAGACAGATACCTTGTTATCATTAGAAAAAACAGAATCTCACAGTGCAATGGAGAATATGATGATATATAATTAAGGAAAATGTTACATTAAGCTGAGAGAAATTAGAAGATGGTTGAGGTTAAGAACCCAACCAGGCTTTAGGACATGATTTTTCCTGTGTCTTGTAGTAAGAGAGGAGGCATCACTCAACAAAAGCTCCCAACACAGTAAATAGAAACTTAATCTGGTAGGAGAAAGCTCTGTACCCCAACATCCAGACCTCTCCTTCAACCCAAAACACACTTGCTCCCTGAACAATACTGAAAACAGTTTCAAACATAAACCCCAGATTTTCTTACAAAAACCCTTTGAATCCTCAGACCTATTTCTCAGAATCTGCCAACAAGAAGGATGCTGCTGTCTCTTCTGTTCATCTCCTAGGTGCTTATCAGATCCGTCTGTAGCTGTACAAAGTCTTGAATTGCAGAATCCCAAAAACCAGGAAGACCAAGCCAACCATAGCCATCCGGATGAGGTTGTCCATTGTATGATCCTGGGGTTTTGAGGCTGGAGATTGTACACAAACAGGTCAGGGCAGACCAAAGTCACTCCCAAATGAATAGATTTCCACCCTCAGCCACTGACTTCACTGGAAAAGGAAAACTTGATTCTCTGCATCCATCCCTTAATGACAAACTCCTATTACTCACCTATCTTGACTTTTGATGAGTTGATCATCTCAGATGCTCCTGATAAACAAGGAAAAGAGGTAGGCTGTATGAAGTACTTAAGAGACCTGAGCCTTTCTCATGGGCTTTATGTTACTTCCTTTATTCCTTGCATATTTTTCTCATCACATAATTTCTTGAAGATCCTTTCCCTGCTATGACAGAGCTCCCTCTGGTTGTCTTAATGAATTCTACAGCTCCAGTTCTCCCTATTAAGTATAAATTGCTTTGGAAGAAAGGTATCTGACTCCTAAGAGCTACGGATGAAAAAAAAATACTCTCCCACTCTTCAGAATTAATGAAGCCTCCTTTGATCTCTGCCCAGTGTGGAGTACAGGGTGATGAAAGCTAATCTCCTTTGAGATGACTTTCACTGAGTCACCAGCTAAGGACCCAGGATCCAGGGGTAAAGGGTGTTCCTCAGGTGGTTCTGAAGTCAAGAGATCAAAGGAGTAACAGTATGAGACTGTGTGCACTTTATCTACCACAGTTAATTCTAGTAGTGCTTCATAATCTATTCAGCATCTTGTTAATTAAAATAACTACATTGCAACTCATAAAGATACATAGTTACCTTTACAACACACACACAAATACACACATGTTGATTTATTCTAGTTATAGGTGATACATGTCTAAAGAGAGTGGAAAAATAATGAACTCATAAAAACATATTAACTGGATATCTTGGTATGAATGCTTTGTAATAATAGATATATTTAAAAATACAATATATATATATATATAATTATCAATGTACATGTGTATGCTTACACTTTATTTAATATTGCAGATATAAACATTTGAAGCAGGAAAATGGTGTGAAAGATACACTGCTTTCAATAGGTACAACTAGAGATCATTATATTAAGCCAAGTAACTCAGAAGAATGAATATTACAAAATGTGTCTCACTTATAGGTGCTACATAGACATACACAAATTCATTCACATGATACCTTTCATGCCTTATTAAAGAAGCATCATTTTGCAGTAGATGGAGGCCAATACAGAGTTTCAAAACTGGTCAAAATGCAGAGAAGTGACCATGAGTGGCCAACCCTAATTAACACATATACAACACAATCCCTATTTGGAAGTCCAAAGGAAAATCATGGGAAACATATCAAAAAGATTGCTTAGAGCCAGATGAGCAGAATACCTGCGGTGATATTGCGTCTTCTAGACATAGTAGGGTAGCTGCACCCATGATATATCAACAATGGGGCAGCCTAAACAAGACCTGAATAATGACAATACAGTTGATATGCCAATGTGGATGTGGAAAATTTCACAAGACCCCAACCCTAGATGATGAGTTATAGACAGGCAATGGCTTCTAGGATAGAGAATCAGTTTTCTACAGGGAAGGACTTCCAAATAGATTATTCAATCCCAAGTGGTCAGTCTTAAACAAATGTACATAGAAATAACAACAAATTGACCTAGTAGGTTTGTGAGTGTGTGTGTGTGTGTGTGTGTGTGTGTGTG